AGGTATTTCCTTCACAAGGTGAAGTGCTCCACCTGCATGAGAAAAGCAGTTCTTTCCTCTTCAGAAAAAATTATTTCTATATGCAATATAAGGATTTTTTGTTTGTTTGTTTGTTTTCCTAAGAATTAGCTGCTAATGAACTGCTGCTTCAGTGGCAGTGTGCAGACCCAACCCTTGCGTTAACATGGTTGAGTTTTTTGAAGGGCTGTTCTAAGACATTAAGATCTGGGTACTGAAAGTCAGTCCATGTGCATGGGGTTTGTGTTGTTTGGGGTTTTTTATTGACTGGCAGCAGAAAGTCAGTCTATGTTTGGGGGGGAGGTATTTTTTATTGTTAGCTGGAGCAAAGATGCGTCAGTGACGGGGCATGCAGGTCCCTGCTGACTGCGCCTCAGTTCTGCTGGGGGCATGCTGAGGTCGCTGCTGTTCAGTCAGTTGACCATCATGAGGATGCAGAATCAGCCTGGGTTTGGGCTGTTTTCTGTTCTACTGTGAATGCACTGCAATGCAGAGTCCTGCGCTCTCAGTGCTGCAACTGTAGCACTCCTGAGAGTAAAAATGTGTCTTTAAAGACTGCAGGAATAGCGACTTTAAAAAGGAAGCAGCTTTGTTGGGGTTTTTTGTTTGGTTTGGGTTGTTTTCTTCCCTGAAATAATAAGGATAGGTTCCTAAAAATTATATTTCTAGGTGGAACAGATGTTGTACATTGTGCTGGTAAGCTACTGGAGCTGCCTAATGCTGCTTACTGGAAAAAAACAAAAAACAAAAAACAACCCCAAACCCAACAAAGTTCTAAACAAAAACCCTAATTTCCTTTTGTCTGTAAAATCAATTTCCTTTTCTGTATTTACTCAACTCAAACCAGATGTGTTTTCATAACATAAATGGTTTGTTATTGTATTTGGTGCACACGTAATGTGCTGCTGGTGCTCGCCCCGTCAAGTTCTGTTCCTCCATGTGCAATGTGGAAGGACATCTTCTCAGATTGGTTATCTCATAAAGCAGAGGAGATGAAGACAACTTGGGAGTGTATATCACTACCATGAGATGGAGCAGGTGATATTTTTGTTAGGGTTCAGTGTTCCATGTAAGGATTGGATATTACAAAGGTGTTGATTTCTGTAGTGATGTTTGTGTCCACCTAGCCTGGGGATGCTTGTCCTCAGAATCTTTGTTATGTTAAAATCCCTTTGAATGCTTTCAGAACAGCTGTGGATGCATATGAAAAGCCTAACCACTTGCCTGCAGTCAGTAAATGTGATTAGTTTGATTTCTCTGAGGCTTGAAGTTCTTTTATATGATCTTTTGTTGAAACTACAAAAGTTAAGCTCCTAACACAGATCTGTAAGCTCAGTGGTATATACAAATGCCTAGCAAAATTGAAGAAACCTGTAGCCACTGATACTGGGATGTATCGGCTTATCTCAGGGGAAAACTTAAAAATTACAAATGTCTGGTGAAGAAGCATAAAAGATTTTTTTTTTTTTTCGAGGAAAAATAGCTAATATTATACAAAAAGACTGAGATTTTGCTACCAGTATAATGCCTTGTATGAAACTGTGAAGCGTACGGCTTCTGTAGAGGAATACATCCTACTAAGAAGAGGAGGGACACAACACACCAAACAGTGAAACAGTAAAATTGTGAAACCATTTAGATCCAATGCTATGGATGAATGAAGGGGTAGGGCTGGTTCCTCCCTTACAGAACTAAGAAAAAAACCCAACCAACTATTTTTGTGGCTATAAGAGGAAACTAAAAAAGATTAAGAACATTTCCATTTCCGGCAGATTTTAAATTGTGTGGGTCAGGGTGAATCATCATTTGACAGAGACCAGTTTGACTGTAATGCTGCAGGTGGGTGTTGTGTTAAAGATGCTAGGGAGCTGCAGCAGCGCTGTGTGGTAGTGATAATACAGCAGCTGGGCATTCGGTGGAAAACAACATAAACAGCACTTGAATACTGCATGTCTTCACTGCAGAGAAGCAGTTGCACAATGCATATTGTTTTGCTCAGTTAAAGCCTGTAGAAGCTGTAAGAAAGCTGGCATAAATAGACAACATGGGTCATAGTCATCGCTGCGCAAGGAAGTACAGGGACTTCAGAACTTCAAACTGCTCATCATTCAGAAAACAACATGGAACCAGTTAAAATGTTGTAACTCCTCTACATCTCTCTTCTGAGAAAAATGAAGAAGCTTAAGTTGTTTAATATTTGACCTGACAAATGTTAGAAGTGATTTCAGTTACATCCATTAACTGCTGTAGAGTTTTACAACAGGCTTATGAACAACTTTGCAATAATTGAATAGACAGAGAAGTAAAATCCTTCTTCCAAGGATTATGTAAAATGAGTCATCATTGTACCAGGCATAGATTAAAATCTCTACGTAAAAGGGTGTTACTGCAGGACTGTACATGGAACAACTGTGAGAGATTAAGGTGGGCTGGTAATTAAAAAATATTAAATGTACATAGATTAAGGGGAAAAAAATTCAACCAACCAAAAAAAACCCACAAAACACAACCCAAAGCCAAAATGTGTGGGAGAAAATAGCACCTAGATTAAATTTAACATCCAGGGAGACAAAAAGGAGAAGTTCCTAAACTTTGTAATGCTTTGTGCTACCAGCTGAGGATGTGAGGGACTCGGGCAATGTGTCTGATGTTCCTCACAGAGAAGGGGCTGTATGACAGACCCAGTTCTAAAAGGGACTTGTTCTCAGCTTGCCAGGTCATCATTCATTACCTGCTATTGCCCTGGGATCACAGCCATTCCCTAAGACTAAAACATGTTGACCTCCTGAGTGGGATACAGGCTGGTCCAAGACTGAGCTGTGTACAAACCACCAGAAAATACACTGAGATTTGTTTTGGTGCATCAGATTAATGCTTAAAATATATGGTCTGCTTCTTATTTTCACGGTGCTCAAAGCACCAAACCCCACTTAAATAGCTTTCTGTCCTTGCAGCAGGCCAAAGAAACTGTGCCAAAATGATCTTGGTGAGCCAGTCTGAGTCTTTGCTGGGAATAACACCCAGTGGAAGCTGCCATGTCTGGTGCTGCTGTGTGCAAGTGTGCTTGGACTGCCAGCTGGTGCCGGCTTTCTCTTCTTGGAAAGAAGCCTTCAGCTGAGGCACCGGGAAGGTGGCTCCCAGGAAACTGTAGCCACGTGTGCTCAAGTAAGGGATGTGAAAGCCATGTGAGTACAAGCACCAGCTGGCGTTTTCTGCAGTGACCGAGGACAGTCACTCACATGTACAGACAGAGGTTTTAAAGAATGCAGTGCTTGTTGCAACAAAGCCCTTTGTATTTAGCTGCTCTTCAGGGACCTGAACGGACACATTAAGAGGCGTCCATCTCTTGGTGCAGTAGACTGATAGCCTTAAAATAATACTTAAGACCAGACAAAAATCGTTCAGTACAAGTGGTGTAGGTGTTAATGTTTATTTCAAGGCAGGTATTCCTGTAGGTGGTGATAAACACAGTTCCCATTCAAAGGAAATGAGGTTTTATTAAAAAGCAGGAAAGTCCATGTTGTTCCCTCTAGTTGCTTACCGATTTACTCTTACTAATGCAAAAGAAATTAAAACACTGAAACATCACCAGAAATAAAAATTAGGAAGATTAAATAATATAATCCAGAGAGAAAATTTTTGGAAATATAAACTGAATGATGTTAGAAACTCAAAACCAGCAACTTGTTACTGCAGCAGATATATTGCATTACATCAAGTGATGCTAGCTATGAAATAACTAACGTTCTGAATTTAAAATGCACTATCTTCATTGCATAGCTCCTCCCTATAAAGACAAAGGTAGAAATTCCTGATTATTTTTTCTGTTGTTTCTTTAAAATTCAGTCCGTATTCTACAAAATAAAGTGAAATAGTTGATGTTCAGAACTAGCTGTATTAAATAGCTGCAAGCTGATACTTGGAAAAAGGCATGGGATGCTAGCTCTACAAAACTCCTATTTATTGCATTTATCGAACTTCTAATGGAGCTGTTCAGTTGACTGTATTTCACATACATGTAGCTTAGCACAGGGGACAGTTTATAACTACAGAGTTCCTTGGTAGAGGAACAGAGAATTTGGTAAGAGAGAATTTACTCAAGTAAAATTTGACATGTAACTGCTGGATGATGTGTTCCGTCTCCCTGTAGTGTATCTGTATATAGACATATTAACTATTACACACTTTTATACATAGATTGCTTTATCTGTAAGGAGTATTGAAAAATGGGTTCTTGGCAGTCATGCTACACTGGAATCACAGCCTGAATTTACAGGCTGATATTAGGATATTTCTACACTAAAACTACCCTCTGCAAGGTTATGTGGAGTGTTTGTATGTGTTTGTCCCCCCGTGGATCAGACCAGGATAATTTCCATGGAAACATTACCATTAGTGTCTTGCACGTCATTAATAGTTTGGCAGAAACTGGAAAATAGAATGAGGATATCTGCAAGAGAGTGTATGTGTCTTTAAGCTGAAAGAGCTGACATTTAGATTCAATATTAGAATGAAGTTCTTCCCTGTGAGGGCGGTGAGGCACTGTCACAGGTTGCCCAGAGAAGCTGTGGCTGCCCCATCCCTGGCAGTGTTCAAGGCCAGGTTGGACGGGACTTGGAGCAACCTGGTCTAGTGGAAGGTGTCCCTGCCCATGACAGGGGGTTGGAACTGAATGAACTTTAAGGTCCCTTCCAACCCAAACCATCCTGTGGTGTTAGAGAATATTTACCTTTGTCTAAAGACAAGAAAACAGTTCATGTTTATAGTTTTCTGCCCCAGGGTCGGGAAGTCAGATTTTCCCTGGAATTCCACTTGCAAACTTTTACTTGCATGATAAAATTTAATCATCTGATGGATTCTGTTGTCTTCAGTTATTTCAAACATGCGTGTTCACTTCATATTTTGTGAGCCTTGACTGCTCGCCCTCCTTTATGCCAGTGAATGGAAAGAGAAGACAATTATCTCTCTAATTTGATTCATAGAAACTGTGAGTGAAGTCTTGGATGTTTCAGCTTCTTCTGCCCATGAGGAAAACTTAGACAGTGTCAAGGAAGGAGTAGCCTCAGCAGATCAAGAGATTTCTGACACATCCTCCAGGAGCCAGGATGCTGATGCTGAGGAGTCGGGGCAAACTTCAGAAGGTGCAAGAGTACAGATGGGTCTGAAATATTTTGTCTCTGAAAGCACTAATGGCTGTTTGCACTGAACTAGATGCAAGTGCATGTGTAGCTCAGGAGTGGCTGCTTGTGGTGACTGTGTTCAGCATTGTAGTCATAGCAGAAAGCTGAATTTTGACATTATATGCCATGCAGTAGAAATATATAGTGTGTATGTGTATTGCCACAGTGTTTTGACCTCAGTGTCCTGCTAAGTGTCTAGATGTAAAGTTCAGGAACAAGAAATTCTCCCTTGTGCTGGACGGGATGTAACATACTATTTTGAAGTCTGACTTAATTTGAAAGATGGAAGTTTCTTAAATTACATTGCTGTAAAGAAAAATATAGAGCATTCGATATTTATAAACATTGCAGTGTTTCAATGCAGCTGTAAACACTCCTGTATTGCTATTGAAGTTGAACAATGTAACTGAATGCAAAAGAAAATGTGTGTTAAAATCCTCACTGGGGAGATTTTCAAAGGAGTTTAGAAATTTGGCCTCTAAACTCTTTTACGATTAGAATTTAAAAGCTAAAAGGAGAAATATCTGTATACCTAGTATGGCTTTGTAAATTGTATCCTTTTAGGCCAAAGGATAATTTAGACTGCAGGGAAAGAACTTGACTATTTGTCATCAAATAAGTTGATTCCAACATTTCTCATTGGTGTTTTGTCTCCATTTTCAGTTTCTGTGGAGGAGAAGACACCTGAAGAAGTTGCTAAGGAACCCTAAAGGTACAGAGTACAATTGTAGCATGTGGTTTCCTGCTCCTCACCTTTCTTTTTTTCTCAGATAGTGGCGATTGCAGCATGTGGTAAGTCTGCACATGCACTCTGATGGTGAATTTGCATTTCTATCCCCAACGAGTACACTGCAAAAAAGAACTGAAGTATTTCTTATTGCCTGGGAACCATTGCTGGCATCTCAGAAGCTAGGGAGCAAAACTTTTCTACATCACACTGGGTGTCTACTTATGGCTTTATCTTAGGCCCTTGCAAACTTGATAAAGACCCAAAAGCTGTACCTTTCCTCCAGGCAAAAAGTATTCTTTGGACATTAGTTTAAATTATGTAGATATTGGACTTCTGGGTAATTGGCCTATACAAGTGAACTCTTGCTATCCTCAGTGTAAACATGGTGAAGTTGTAACCTTCCAGACTCACTTCTTTAAAAACAATTTTTCACAATTAGTCTCTTGGCACTTTTAGTTTGTGCTAATGAAAAATATTGACTATAATATTCTTACTAGTTTACTAGTATCTTGCTCAGTTGGTCTTATTAACTTGCAGAATAAGATACTTTCCCCCCAATATTCTTACTATTTTGCTATTCCCTGTGACTCCCGTTTCCAAAAGTGGACTGTAAGATGGTGATAGAAACCTGAGGAAATAAAAAGTTTGGCTGAAATATGAACAGGAATCTTGGTAAAAAAGATATTAACTAAAATAGAAACAACTGAAAGCTGAGCAAATAGACCTCCCAGGCCAGGAATTCTCAAAATTAATTGTGCTGCTGGTTAGCAAGTCATGCAGTAATTCTTGGAGTACAGTGCAGGAGGAGAAGGAAACAGCAAAGAAAGTGATTTTTCACTGCAGTCTCAAAACGTATCCTCTAAATCCACTTATGGAAACGTATCATTATGTTCTGAGTCCTTTGCAAATGTGTGTTTGCTTATTCCATCATCCACTGCAATATAAAACAAGGTAATGCCTTTTATCCGCTTGTGATAAAAGGTAAATATTCTTAAACTTCATAGTCTTTTTCCATGTTGTTTTAGCATTTAAAACTAAGAAAAAACCCTGAAATCAAGAAGGGGAACAGATATTTAATGAATGTAGGTGAGATGTGCAGAAAAGTTGCAAGTGTGGGTCTCAGAGCTGTTGTTTTTGCTGAAAGTAAAAGCTAAGGGCACCTGAGGATATTGCATCAGAAAAATAAATTACCAAGAAATTTTGTTCACTCTGGGACACATAAATGCAGTGACGCAGGGAAAGCAATAGAGTTAGGAATCTTTTTTTCCTTCTGTAAACATCTTGCAACCCTGTAAATTGTTGCATTGTTATTCCATAATTTGATTTAGACAACAAATACCCAATATAGCTAATTTGACTAATGAAGGCAGAGACGGTAACTGAAAGGGGCAGGAGTGGGAGGGAAGGGAAGCTGTAGGAAGCAATTTTGATAAAACAAATTGAAAATAGTTGAAAAGTAGATGAATCTGCTACCAGAATACAGGTCCACTGAATGCTGCTCAAACTGCTTGGAATCTTTTTGATTAAAAAAAAATTATTTTTTAGGACAACAGCATCACAAGGTTACAAAACGAATTTTGTTCTGAGGTCTGCTTTGATCTTGTTGGGAGAAAAACAGTGTATAAAACAGTTTACTACTTAGGGCTAGAAGTAGGCTGACTGACTTTTTCCAGTTAATAGGTTAAGAGCTACAATGCATTCCCAATCAGGAAAAGCATATTTATTCATTTATTTTGTGTATGCAAAAGGATAGAATAGTAGTAATAGGTAAAATCTTCACATAAAGCCTTGAACTGATGCTGTGTAAGAACATACTATTATTCCGCTTTCTTTTCTGAGTACAGCAACTCTACAGTGTGTGGCTCTTGGCCTCAGATTCACACTGGTACGAAGCTACTTATATCAGTAATCTCAGCAAATGCAATTGGTTTACCTTGTCCTTCAAGTTAAGCAAGCAGCTATTTGTAGAAGTAAGGTTTAGTGGAATATATCCAGCATGCAGAGGAATTCAGTTATACCTGAGCAACATAGCTGAAGATGAGGGATTTGTTGAAATTGGCCTTTGCTGGTGGTAGCAGAGCAAGTTTTCACAAGCCATCAGATAACCATGATTTACACAGCAGTGGTGTTTATATGCTGTAATTCACTGATAACCTGCAGCCAAATTCACAATGTGTTTAAATGTTTGCAAAGAAAAAGACCTGCTGAATCAAATCTGTTGCTAAACATTGGTTATTGTTGCTTCCTCTAAATCAGATTCTTTCTTCTTTTTCTCAGTAAGCAGTGCTGAAGCCTTTGAAAAGATTTAACGGAAATATTTGTGCAATGAACCAGCTGATTCCTGTGTGAAATCCCATACTCTTCCTTGGAGACAAAAGAATTTGTGCAGTTTCTCATACCACGTGCTGCTCATTAGGACCAGTATTCAGTGCTGCAACAGACAACCTAATACGATTTAAGTTGGTTAGAGAGACGCTTCTGTGATTAACATCTCTGCTTTAAAGTAGCATCCAGTAATAACTTCCAAAGCACAGCCCAGCATGTAACAAATACACGTGCTAAGAGAAGCAGTAGAATTAATTGAAACCATGTCAGGTGAACTCATTCTAGGTCTGTGTTGTCTTGTTACGTACATTAATGTCTTACTTTTGGTCCAAACTGTGGTGCATAGTTATACCATTTTAACATTCCATGCTAAAATGTAAGTAAAAGGTTTTAACTAATTTAAAAGCTTATTAAAAATACTTATTTTTTTTTAAATTGGGTCATGGTGAAAATAATAACCTTTTTTTCTCCCAAGTTAGGATTTGCAATTGTAAGCACAGGACATTTGGCTGTATAAGGTCTGATTTTCCCCTTATGTAAACATTTTAGATACTACTCTTCCTTGTACAATAGTATCCAGGAGTAAACATTTTTAAGGCTCCTCCTTTGAGAACAAAACCTGTTTACAAGCAGTAGCAACGGGTACTTTATAGCATGAAAATTCAAAATAGCCATGTTTGAAGTTACTGTCATTGGTTGAAGTGGTGGCTCCAACCTTGGGTGAGCTGGGCCTTGTTCCTACCAAACCTTGCTGTAGTCTTTCTGTGTTATGTCTTAACAGTGGCGTAACAACATGGAGGTTTTCAGAGAACACTTGTACAAATCACAAGCAATTCAGGCTATGGTAAAGCTCCTCTCTGAGTGCTGGCAGATGGCCAGCAAAATCCCTGTGGAAGGTTATGTCACATGTGTTCAAATGGAGAAGGACTCTTAGGGACTAAGAACAAACAGAATAGATATATAATCTTGTTAGTATTATCTTAATAATGAAAAATTCTATAATGAATTATGGGTTTGTATGACACTGTTCTTCTCAACCTCCATTGTGCTTTGTGCATGTGCATGAGTGTGCATCTACTACAGAATCTTTACTGAGACCCATTCCAGCCTTCAGAATGGCAATAATTCTAAACTGGGATCAAATTAAGGTATATTAGACACACTTTACATAGAAAGTGTGAATTACAAGCAGAACTTTGGAAAGATGTTGAAAGGGAAATTGCAGCATTTTGACATTCCTGCCCATGGCACAAAGCAACACCTGCTCCTGCCATCATGAAGCAAATTATAATAAAGTTCCAACAAAAATACAGCCTATTGCCACTGTATCTGCTTAGGAATAACTGGAATAACGCAGAGGCAAAATCAGGCTCCTGAGCTTCAAGAAGCCATTCCACAGCCTTCTGCTTAAAGGATAAACCCACTGTGATTAAAAGCAATCTTTGTCAAAGCTACTGGAATAAAAGCCTTGGACTGATATTTTGTTGGATGAGAGTCTATCTTTATTTATCTTGTAGATTAAGCATCCTGTGATGGATGCATACTCTTAAATGTTCTATTTCTTCATTTTACTAATTCCTTGTGAAATAAGCTGTTTCTAATTTCTGCAGCCGGCAGTAGGATTTCTGAAATTGCTGGCTTTGCTGAATGTCACTTTCTCTGGAACTGCTCTGGTATGTGGCAAAACGTATCAGCCTTGGAAGAGAGGTGTTTGAAGAACTGAAGCACAACCTATGGTGTGTTTTCCAAAGCTTTTCACCCTTTCAAGTTCAAAAATGTAAATCCTAGATTAACAACAGAGAGCTTTTGCAATTTGCAGAGGGCTGCTCTGAAAAATAGCCACTAACCGCATGCAGGATGCCTTGTTGCTTCACCAGAAATTCTTTGTCTGACTGGTTTAGGTGGTCCTTGATCACTTTCAGCAGTTATGCTAGTATGGACTCTAATTACCACACAGAGTAATATTTTTCTGTGCCCCACCTCCAGAAAACTGAATTTTTGACTTGCTACCCAAAGGCTGTGATGAACTGTAGAAAATGGTACTTTGGCTCACTAAGGAGAACACAACCACAGCAGAGAGCAGACCTAATGCAGGACTACAGGAGATGGGCCAAAAGGTTTGTTCTTGACAGAACATTTCAAAGCTCAGAGTAAAACTTGAGATTCCTGAATTTGTACAAACTGGAAATTGCTCCTTTGTGGTCAGCAAGTATCTATGAGACCAATTAGCAAAGCATTTCACCTCCCTCTAGTGCTAGTTCATGTGAAGGATATCAGCCTGCAAGCTGCTAGCAGCAGTTCACTTTGCTGAAATGCTGAAGACAGATGAAGTCCATCTAGCAATTTCAGTTTTACTCTTTGCCTCGTTGATGTCAATATAGAATTTAATTTTTATTTTAATTTCCTTTTTAAAAAGACAATTGCTTAAAAAGATCATTTCAAACTGCAAGTTGGTACCCAAAATTTGGGGAATCTGAGAAATACTTTAACCAATATTTCTTGTCCCTGTGCAGCAAGCTTTGATGATGTGATAAAATGTTATTTTTTTATCTGTATTTCTGAGGAATAAAAAAAAAACACAGAACCCCACACAATTCCAATGAACCCAAACCACGCCAAGAACTGAGGCTGTGCTGTTTTCCCACCTGTTGGTCTTTCTCCTTTCCTCTCTCTCCCTCAAAAATTTTGACCCAACTAGCCAACCTCAACTTCTGTTTTAAGAGAGAGATGTGAAGGGGACAAAGTTCCTACCATCTGTGTGATGACTGAGGAGATCAGTGACTTATTTGTTGTTTGCCAGCAGATGAGCAAGTGCACATATATAGAATCAGAAAATGGTTTGGGTTGGAAGGGATCTTAAAGCTCATTCAGTTCTGTCCCCCTGGCATGGGCAGGGACACCTTCCACTAGACCAGGTTGCTCCAAGCCCCATCCAACCTGGCCTTGAACACTGCCAGGGATGGGACAGCCACAGCTTCTCTGGGCAACCTGTGCCAGTGTCTCACCACCCTCACAGTGAAGAATTTCTTCCTAATATCTAATCTAAACCTACCCTCTTTCAGTTTAAAGCCATTTCCCCTTGTCCTGTCACATGCGTGGTGCAGCTGAGTAGCACTTTGGTGTCCATAATCAGCTGCTGCCAGGTTAGGGGGTGAAAAACTGAGCCAGCAGAGCATTGCAAGAGGATAGCTCAGAGGGCATGAGGTGTGTATGGGACAGGGGAAGATAAGGAGGGACAGAAAATGTTCTGTGTGAAAAGACACAAAAGCTATTGTAGCTTGATTTGCTGTCCATGGATTAGCTCATTTCTGCAGAGTGCTGTCCCCCTTATCACACAGACAATTCTGCTCTTGAAAAAGGTATTTCTTGGTTGTATGCTTTGCTCTTGCTCTGCTTATCTGCTGCACAAGTTGGAAGATGTGCAGGATGATGTAAATAAAGCTCACTCTAGAGCAACAGGCATTGGACATCATTGTAACTGGATTCTCCTGTATTCTGGTCTTTGCTCCTTTGGGATGCTGCGGGAGAACATCAGCGTCACTAGAATGGGAAGCAGGGCTAAAACTGGAGGTTTCTGTGCTGGAGTTTTTCCTGCCATTTGCTTGAATTACAGGTTGTTGAAACAGCATGATTTGCTTAGTGGTTTAGCTATCTACAAATGTTCTTCACTTCATCTGTGCATTTTACCAAACTCAAGTGATGGCTTTAGTAAGCTCTAAAAGGCTGTTTGCGACTGATATTCGAAAGCTCCTGACAGCAAATGGGAAGCTTCTGTGAAACAGAAGTATCTTCTTCATGTGGTCTGTTAATTATTTGTATCGGCTTCACATGGAGATCCAGTGCCTCTTAACTACATAAAAATCTTGTATGTTCAGTGATAAATAACTTTCCTTATTTTAAACCTTCATGACATAGTGATCTTTCAAGAGATACATGCATGAGCTCTGCTTGTGCCCTAGGAAAATGTTGTACCTTGCTATAGTTGCCATGCCTCATCTCGGGAAGTTTTGCTGCCTGTGCTCTTAGTTCAGCATTGACTGCAGTATGCAAGCTAATTAAGTTAAAGGGGAAAACAGAGAATAAGTGGAAGAGGAGAGACAGCAATATGTATCAAGATCATATTTCCTCTTTCTCTCTCTGTAATTAAATTACTGATGTGTGTGGAGACTCATGGACTGCCTTCCCATAATGTGATTTTATTTTTCACTCCCCAGCTTATTTCTTCCTGCTTAAGGCTATTTTCTTTCTCAGTAGTTATTGGGAGATGTTATTTCCCAGCGAGGGGTAGCCGAGACTGATTAACCACTGGTCAACATGCACTCTCATTATCAAACAGAAGAGGGCGCTAAATCAAAAGCAGCCTGATTACAAAAACTCAGAACAGAAGAAGGATCCCCTATCCTCAAAACAAACCTGGAGCTGAACAATATAGGAAGAAATGAATAATGTATGCTTTTTCAGTGGACAAAATTGACTTAATTTTTTTCTTTTTTCTTTTTTTTTTTAAGTTTAATTGTGGTTTGGAGAAAGTCCAAATCATGCAGATCCTTTTAATTCCACTGGTGTAGTAAGTGACTAATTTCCAATGCAAAGTATTTGGTGCTGAGGCTATTATAATATGAGAGGAGCCAGACCTGGAGTAACTGTGCAAGGCTTAATGGCTCTTGCAAATGAAAACAGAATAAGGCTGGGTGTGAATGTCTTTGTTTTCATTTAATTGATTAATGAAGTTCCATAAAATCAAAATCACTGCAGCCTTGACCCTTCTAACTTATTACAAGTATCAGCAGTAGAAGGAGGTAACACAAAGTATTCAGTCCTGGTTATGAACAAAGACAGAAGGACTCTGAAGTGTTTGAAGTTGTTACTTTACAAGATAAACCTTAGTGGTTTGATTTCCACACCCTGTCCATTTGCTTTCAGCACGTCCCTTTGCAGAACCTTGTCTTCTATGCCAGTTCTGAGATCCTCACTTGGGCACTGTCCCCATGAGAATGTTTACTGTTGGCAGAGCTTGGATGTTCCTAAGTGAAAAGTAGCTTCCAATGCTGAAATATTTTGCTATGAAAAGATAAATCTACCTTTGAGGTAATTCTTTTTTCAATTTTTCTTTAAAGCAAAACAGTTAAAAAGAAACTAGATGGTCTCTGTACGAAACTTCTTCACGCAAACCATGTTTCTAAAGGGTTTTCCTGTATCAGAAGGGTTCCTTGTGAGCATTCTGTTTTCTGCTGTGTCTAAACTAAGAAAATCAACATGTCATGTATATACCATGTATTTTTTTTTGAGAGAAAATGAGGTAAAGTCCTCTTTCACACTTATCCTAACTTTGATTCTTTCTTCTAAAATATTGCAATTGCTGTATCTTAAAGTATATCTAGCATACAGCAACAAAGTGCTATGGACTTTCCTCCTTTATATCTATGCAATTCCTTCTTTCTTAAAAGCAACACATATTTATTCAAGGGTAAAATCCTGCCTGAAATGGGCTTGTTTCAGCACTGCACTGCTCCCCTGCTTTAATTGCACAACTCCCATGTAATTAGCGGCGTTACAGCCCCTGCAGTGCTGAGGATCAGAAGCTTCTTGTGCTTTCCTACTTGACAAGCAAAGCAGTGTTGTAGTTTTAAGGAAGGGAGGGGGTGTGTTTGTTTTTTGTTTGGTGGAGGTTTTATTTTATTTTATTCTAAGTTTTAGGCCATTAAGGGGAAACTATAAAGGAGATAGAATGAATTCAGAGATTAGGATTAGATATGCAACTTAAAGGATTTTGCTGTATAACATAAGATGTTTTAGTAGCCTAAAGCATGAAGAAAATCAAGGGGTAGATAGGAAGTTTAAGCTTGAGTTAAGCTGACACTAGCCATGTGTCTTTACAGCACAGAAAATTTGCTTTTTTTTTGGGCAGTAAGGAGTCTGAAATTTCGTCTTAAAGCTGTCAGATCTGGAATTCTTCACAGATGGAACCTTTATTTATCTGGTATTTATCCTTGGCAATAGAAACATGCAAATCATCAGATCTATAGACCTCAAATTAGGTCCCATATCCCTGCAAAAATAACTCCAAAAGCTGGTGAGCCATGCTTGTGTATGCCAAGTTAACCTGATCACCAGTCTGGGTGAGGTGTGCTCCTCCCTGCTGCACAGGCAGGAATGGCTTCAGGAGATGGAATGCCTGCCCCTGCAAAGTGTGAGTACCAATTTGCTTACTAGGATCAATTGGTAGTTTGATCAGCACCTTGCAGTGACATGGATTTAAAACACGGGTGCTTTAAATACTTTCTTTTCCTATGAATGTGGGGTAGAGACACAGACAACATCTTATATAAAAGCAAGAACATTCAAATGTTTGTGTTCTGCTAGTGAAGTGATTGCTTCTGGGACAAATACATACAAGAAAATATCCATCCCAAACAGTCCACTGGGAATTTCCTTCCTTATTGCCAAGATGGCTTCAGTAGTATGTAAAGCAGCAGCCAGTAATGTCTCTTGTAGCAGGCTGACAATGAATATCCTAGAATCCTAGCTGGTACACAGCTATATGCCTATCAACACATCAACTGGCTGCTGTGGGTCAGCATAAAAAAATAACTGTTTTCTAGTGGGTACACATATTGGTGTTGGTGTCCTCTGCTCCAATACTTGTATTCTTGAAACTTGTAGGGACTTTGAGATCTGTACCTTTTAATAAAACTGAGCTGTAATTGGCAAATAATGTTGAAGGGAAAGGAATTGCAGAGATGGATGGACGCACAGTTAGCTAGGTCTCAACAAAGCTTGTTTCCTTAGGGTAAAATATAGCTTAATTTAGTGATGTTGGAACACTTCACAGCAAAAGTGGCATGCTGCTCTATGATTCTATAAGCACAATATAAAATCTATTAAAATTTCATTTAAAAAAGAAAAAAAAAGACATTTTTGGTTTAGAAATGTAGCAGAGATGAGCTTTTGCACACTGATGAAGGTGAAGTGTGTTTATGTGTGACTGTACCTGCTGCTGAGTGCCGAGAGAGCTCCGGCTAAAAAGAATGTCAGACTTTTACAGTGTACAGGCACAAGGGGGCCCAAATCAGTTTGAACAGAAAACCTTAAGTTTTCCTTCAGAGCAAGTGGCTTTGCAATGTTGAAAGTCTCCTTGGCAATGTGGTGGGTTTGTTTTTTTTTTCTTGTCTATAATTAACATGAAATGCCTCCTATTCAGCTAAGGCTCTTCTGTATATTTCTGTGAAAAGCAAGGAAGGGTAGAATTGTTAAATCCCAGTATTTGTAAAGAAGATCAATTCTGAGAGAGGTTTCTCAGATCGGGTTAGATCAAGACAGCCTCAGCATGTGCTCAGTTCTTGATCGGACTCTGACAATGTATCCCACATTGACAAGGAAGTAATAATGGATGCTGCATTACGAATTTGGCTAATTTCAAAACTGATGTGCTCCAGCAGAGATGGCTGATTCAAGAAACCTTGACGCTTATGTTCCAGCACTGCTCCTACAAGTCACTGGCTGACTCAGTCTTGTATGCCTGGGGCTCTACAGCTGCTCATATGCACGGACAACTCATTTACCTACCTACCAAAATCAAGTGCTAGAAACTAATTACACCTCTAGGGCTGGATATAGTCATTGGGAGGGATTTTTGAAAGCAGGCACCTGTTTGCCCCTTACAAAGCCGAGCCGAGGGTTACCAAGACCCTGTCTGCTGTGGGATTTCCCTTATCTTTGCTTTCTACATCCTGTACATCAACTTGTTTATCAATGACCTGGAAGAAGGGCTGGTGCATACCCTCAGCAAGCGTGCTGGTAATACAGAGCTGGGGGAAATGACTGATACACATTAAGGCTGAGCTGCCATTCAGCAGGACCTTGATAGGCTGGAGAATTTGGCTGAGAGAAAGCTAATGAGGTTCAACAAGCACAAGCATAGGGTCCTGTACCTGGGGAGGAAGAACCCCAAGTACCAGTACAGCCTGGGGCTGACCTGCAAGAGAGCAGCTCAGCTGAGAAGGACTTAGGGGTGTTGGTGGATGATAAATTGGTTATGAGCCACCGGTGTCAGGAGAGGAGACTATCCTGGAGTGCATCGGGGGGAGTGTGGCCAACAGGTTGACAGAGGTGATCCCCTCCTGCTCAACCCTGGTGAGGCCACATTTGGAGTACTGTGTACTCAGTAGAAGGTAAGAGGAGATACTGGAAAGGGTCCAGCAGAGGGCCACAAGGATGATCAGGGGTCATATGAGGAGAGGCTGCAGGAGCTGGGCCTGTTTCGTCTAGAGAAGAGCAGGCTGGGAAGGGATCCCATTAACACATAAATATCTCAAAGGCGGGTGCCAGGAGGATGGTGCAGAAACTCTCTTCAGTGGTGCCCAGCAATAGGATGAGGAGCAATGACCATCAACTAAAACACCAGAAGTTTCATCTCAACATGAAGAAAAACTTCTTTAAGCTGAGGGTGGCAGAGCACTGGAAGAGGCTGCCTAGGGGGATCGTGGAGTCTCCCTTTCTGGAGACATTCATAACGTGCCTGGACATGCTCCTGTGTAACCTGCTTTAGGTGGCCCTGCCTGGATGCTCTTCAGAGGTCCCTTCCAACCCTACCGACTGTGGCTCCCGTCAGTTCTGAACACGAAGGCCCGAACCATCCCTGGGGCCAGGCGGCCGTGAGGCACATCCCGCCGCCGCGCCAACGGCCGCTCCCTCGCGGCAGCCTCCCGCCCTGACCAGCCAAGCGCCCCCCCGCGGGCCCCTGCGCAGGCGCGCAGAGGCCGCGCATGCCCACAGCGCCCCCGCGCGCCGAGAGCATGTGCAGAGGCCGTGGCTCGGCTCGGCTCTGCGCGGAGGGGGGGGCCGGGGCCGGGCAGGTTGCGCCGCTGCGCCCGCCCCTCCAGCAGCGGGGTGGCCCCGGCCCCGGCTCCGGCTCTGCCCCTGCGCGGCGGTACCTACCGCCGCCTGCTCCCGGACCGAACCGGACCGGCGACGGACGCGGCCTCCGGGCGCACGGGCACGGTAAGGGTGCGGCACCGGCTCCTGCCTCAGCGGAGGGCGAGACGGGCGCTGACAGGCGGCCCTGGGAGGGAGAGAGCGAGGGAGGGAGGCAAAGAGGGGGCGAGCGGGCGGCCGCCCCGGGAGGGGGCTGCGGGATCGGCTTGTCCCGTTTCGGGGGCTGTCGCAGAGGTGTGTCGGGCGGGCTCGGCGTGGCGGGGTCGGGGGTTGCTCCGGCCGCAGCTCCCCTCCTCTTCTTCCTCAGCTGCACTTTCGGTTTCGCGTGGGGAGCGGGGCTGGGCGCGGCGGAGCGACCGTGGGGCCGGGGCCGCCCCTCATCACCTCTCCCCCGGCCGGCCCGCGGGTGCCCGCACCCTGCCCCGCCGGCTGAGGGGGCGCTGGGGGCGGCGGGTGGATCCTGGCGGCTGTCAGCGTAAACAGAGCCCCGAGGCGGCCGCGGCCTGCCGCGCCGGACCACGCTGGGCCGCGCTGCCCCTGCCGCGGCGAGAGCGGGAGCGGGGCGGTGGCCGGGGCAGCGCGGCGGGGGCAGCGCCTTGTTTACACAGGGCGTCGGGAGAACATGGCAGCCCGGGAGTGCTGGCCAGCCGCTGTCATGCGTGCTGGCGGCGGGGGAGCCCTGCCGGGCCTGCCGCCTCCCGCCCGGCCACCACACGCCCCGCGGTCGCTGCTCCGGCTGCGCCCTGACCGAAGAGCTCAAGTCCGGCGTATTCCTAATTACACCTCGCCGCGCCTGTAAAACGTGGTATCGGTCAGCTCTGCTCAGCTGTTCGTGCTTATCTGTTGCCTTTTGGGATGTGTTCTCTCGCGGTGGTTTTTTTTTTTCCCCACTTAAATAATTCAGTTCTTCGTTCTGTGTGTTCCCTCCCTTATGGCTAGTCACTGTCATGGTCCTTGTGAGCTTTTTAACCATTTAACTTCTCCAGCAAAGGCGGCTAAACCTTCCAGGCTGCCAGCTTAAAACTAGTTAGTTTGTGAGGAGGGTTCTGGGAGCAGGATAGTTTTTTTCTGTAGTCCCTTCAGTGACATACTCTTTGCATCTTTCAGGTTTCAGTAATACCTGGTTCAGAAGGTCCCTAAGCTTCAGACTCTATGTGCATCTTTGTGTTTAATAGTTGTGTAAGCCCTTCAGGGGCTTTGCGTCCATAAAGCTGTCTACCTTAAAACTTACTCCTTTGCCATCTAGAATATCCTATGAAAAGGAATTACATAGCTTGTGTGCTGCTTCCTTTTATCTGCATGTGTGTACTGTGATTTTTTGGTTTTGTTTTTTTATTTAAACCCGCATCCTCACCATTTAATTTCGTCCTCTCTGCTCTTTTATTACGTAAAACGATGAATAATTGCTCCCTACTCTGGCTTGTGGGGGAGTGGAAATGGATGTTAAGGACCTACAACCGAGCCGATGGAAAGAGAAATGCTGGCATAAAGTGAGGGTACAAAGTGTGTGAGTCCTGTCAGAAGGAAGAGAAGGTTTGAAGGATCTTTAAATAGAGAGCAGTGGGAAGAGAGCCTGCTAATAGGATGAAATACAGGAAGGTCCAGGAGAAGCCTGCTGGAGCCACAAAGCTTTGTGCAGAACGTTAATAGTTTTTAAGTGATTATAAGCTTATGTTTTGGGGCTCATCAGCTTTAGCTGTTGAGGTTTCTGAGCAAACTCTGGATGGGCAGATTATCAAATTAAATATGTAAGGAAGGAGTTCCTCAAGGTTCTTACTGGATTTGGTACATCATTCATTTGATCCAATGTAATAATTTATGTGTGTTCAGCAATAAAGTTATTGCCTTGTTGTATGGGAAATTCTGAAGTATGATGTGGTCAGAACTACTTGCTTTGATGATTCTTCATTTTCATCTCCTTTGCTATAACTTCTAGAGATTTATGTAACGTATAAAGTGCTGTAAATTGTATGGATTGTTCCCGTGACCTTGTGAATGCAAAGATAAACTTTGTATCATCCTTTTGAGTATAGCCCCCAGTGCTTTAGCTTTTTACAAGTTGTTGTTTGTTTTGGTTTTTTTTTATTTTTTGTTTTTTTTCCTCTCTTAGCTTTTTTGGTAACTTTTTTTTCCCCCATGTTTTGGACTTTTCTGAGTTTCGAAAAAAAAAAGCAGTTAATTCACCATTTCTTCTGCACATGCCTATGTGAATCAGTTAGCTGGAGACATAAAAATTATCTAGGAAAATACATAAAAAAGACCTTTTGGTTGACACAGTTTTTTATAGTGTGTGCCATGGTTTATGTGTATCAAAGCGATAGCGACATTTACATGTGTATTTGAGGTGCTGCCTATGAAAGACCACCTTTGTACCCATAGGAAGCCTTGTCACAGCTAGCGGGATCCTGTATTTCTGTATAACTAATTTCATTTTTCCAGCCAACTTCTTTAACTTTTTTTTTTTTGAAGGAAGGCCTTTATGGAAAAAAAAATTGTGTGAGATGCTACTGCTGGCTGCAGTCCTGCCCTTGTGGTTGCTTCTGTGTAGGTATCCGCATAAATCTCTTCTCAGGATTTGGGATGCCAGAGGAATAAAAGGGGGACATTGTTCCAAGTACTCTTACGTTTCTTCTGAGTGCTGCGGGAGCAGCTGCCTCTAGTCACTGCTGCCCAGGCTTTTGCATGTTTGTCTTGTTTTCCTCTGTGTGTACGAGTTGTGTCCATCTTTTTTTCAAGCATTGATTTTTTTTTTTTGTTTGTTTGTTTGCTTGTTTTATAATTTAAAACTGTTCGCAGATTTCTATTTAGAGTTTTGTTATGAAGCCGGTCTTGAATAGCTTCACTCTGAGCCTGGCCTAGTCGAATTGACATTCTGCCATCCTTTCCATGCTGTTTTTTCAATTATTATTATTTTTAATTCTGTTGAGTTGCATGTTTGCCTTTCTGTTAACTCGACACGTGGTTGTGCACAGGGGGATCGACTTAAGATTCTGTTTTTTGTGGGACTACTATTAATTTGTCACAGTTGTGATTAGTGTTTTAAGCTTCTCTGGTAGCTGCTGAAAACGCGAGAACTGCATGGATCTATTGTAGGCAGACTCTTGGATATGTAATGTAGGCTGTGCAAATGTGCTATTAAATATGTGAGTAAACTGCTTGGTATTTTGCAGTCTGTATGACAAGTGCTCTCTAGCCTCTGAAGATGTGCATGCTGTAATCGGTTGTCTTGACCAAGGAAAATGATTAAAATTTTGGGTCTTGTGTTTTTCGTAGTGGTAAACAGTTAGAAACCTCTTGCTGTTGAGGCAAAGAATGTGACTTCAAGACTCAGATCTTTGGTTTTGGTTTTTTCTCTTTCTTGAGGGTGGGAGCACTTGGACTTACTTTTCTTTTCCTATGACATATGTATAAAAATAAAGGATGATGCAACAAAGCTGATGTCCCTGTTGTAAGGGATGTTCCAAATGTTTCAGAACTAGTTTCTCTCTGTTTTTTCTGTGAATGGATGTCAGATCCGTAACAAAATGATTTGGTCATGTCTTTTGGAAATGTCAGATTTGTTTTTTTTTCCTCTGATGTCATCCCATATTTTGCTTTGTTGCAAGCACCTGTCCAGGAATTTAGTTTGTGGTGTGTGTGGGGTTTTTTATTTTAAAATCTTTCTGCTGCTGTTTTGTAATTCAGAAGTAGTCACACTTTGAACCAGCTTTTCTGCTGGCTAATTGTATCACTGTTAATAACCTGGTCTTCTTACAAGTCTTAATCATCTCTTTCTTTAACAATCTGAGTCTAATTATCTTTGGTGGTTTTGTCTCAGTCAGCCTTGGGAAATGTGAATTTTAGAACTGATTTCTGCAAGTGGCTGGGCAGTCTTTTGTTTTTACAGAAGTTGAGTTAGTCATGAGTTGCTGGGCAGAAGATGAGGAGTAGAGTCAGTATCCTACTGGAACTTCAGGGAGAAGTGAAGATTCCACAAGGCCATACTGCTTAGGAAGAAGGAAGAGGGCGAATGCTTAGCTGGTTCATTTTAAAAGGAGTCTGCAGGAATCTGATGTGCATTTAGGTGTGTGGGGTGTGTTTGGGTGTTTGCTTTAACTTAGAACTTGTAAACCAGACCTGACTGAAACCCTTTTAACATCCCACATGCTTGCCAGGAGGCTTGCCTTTTTCCCCACCCTGTCAGGTTTTTGAAGAGGTTGCTGAATAGCATGACTCTTAGTATGAAGTTCAAATCATGTTGTATAACAGCTCTGGGCCTGTAATTTATTCCTTGCCTTGTCTGTTCTGTGCATTCAGTCTAAAGACACTGTCCTTTTAATGAATGCTAAGGTTTAACATCTCTCTGATTCTTCTGTGTATTCTCCCCGGTAAGGTTCTTACTATGAATTTCTTCTGGAACTGGTAAATGTGGATTATAATTTACGTTCCTGCATTGCTCTGTCTTCACTTCTGTAGGTAATTGGCAATTTATGTAGAGAGAAATCAGTGCAAGGGTCATCTAAACCTCTTGTAACCTAGGAGACAGAAATAGTGGGGTTTTGACATGACCTGATCTAGTACACGGTATTAAGTGTTTTCAGTTGCTACAGTTTGGCAGCTGTTTAGCCACCTGTGTGGGATTATAGTAGATAAAATATGAATATACAGTAGATGTGGTCTTGTTTATGATTGTTTATTTGCATTAATATACTGTGTGAGAACTAAATTAGCTTTGTGACATGCTTAAGCTATGCAAAGGTACTACATGAAGTGCTGTGTTTTCTTTATACATAGATGCAAGTCTGAATTGCAGGAATAATGCTGATGTTTGAAAATGCTTGGAAGCTATACTTCCAAATTAAAATGTAATTTCCATTCCTTGGACTTCTCTTTTAGGTTATGATTGCTTGGCAGGATTTCTCATGTGGATGTAGGTAGAAAACTGTAGAAAAGGAAAAAAGTCTTTTTACAGTAAAAGTATTTTTTGTTTTGTTTTGTTTTTTTTTTCCATTTAATTTTGCATAGTTGTGAATGTTAAGACTTCTGAAATAATGTGGTAATTGAAAGGCAGGTAAGGGCTAGCTTTTTGAGTTAAAAACCTGGAGGGGGACATGTGTATGAGGCTCCAGGAATGCTTGCTAAAGGCTTTCTGGCTTGAGACTTGTGTGGGGAGTGGAGGAGGAGTTTGCTTTCTTTTTCATCAAGGAGAATACTGATAATCAAAAAGTGGTGCTGGCTTTACAAATGAAACAATGGAAGATAAAGTATTACGCTGGTGGTGTTGTGGTTTTTTTTTGGTGTGTGTGCTGTTACAAATAAGGTATTTTTAGGTTTGAATCATACTTTCTCATGTCAAGTTGACTGCCTATATAAGCAAAAAATGCCTTATTCTTTTTCTTCTAAATGGTGTATATTCCAAGAGGAATGATAAAATATATCTTGTGATTATTCTGCTGCTACTATAACAGCTGTTTTGATTTGTTTATTTTTGTAGTAACCTGCCATCCAGAGTAGCTAGACGGCTACTGACTTTTTGTGCTAAGTTGATATGGCAACGGAATTGGTGCCTTTCTGAGCATATTTTTATGGTGTGCTGGAGGATCCTCAATACCTTTGATGAACTAAAGCTTTTAAACAGTTTTTGCATAGTTGTGTTTTTGATTTTTATTTTTTTTTTACTTTCTTGCTTAGTTGACATCCAGTTGGGGAGATCAGTAATTATCAGTTCTACTAGTACACCTAAACTGTTGTGCCTGGAAAGATTTCCATGCCCACAGGAAACCCAGTTACTGTGCATGAATCTGAACTAGCTTTTCCCTGTATGTGCAAGGATAATTTAGTTTAAGCTGGCTGTGTGCTATTGGAAGCAGGCTTTTGAGTTTACCCATTGGAGTATTAATTATATTTTTTCTTTCTTCATTATATGGAAGAACCTGTTTTCTTGCAGACCTTGGTGCTTCTGCTAGCTTTAGAAATGGATAAGTTTTACTAAAAGTGAGGGGCTAAATTCTGGCTTCTGTTATACAGCATTGATCTCAGTGGAGTTACTCACAAGGGTAATTGATAACAGACTGGGTTTTTATGTCTCATGTGGAATATGTGCTTTCTGTTCTAAGAAGCCAAACTTCTTAGTTTACATCTTGAAGTAGTAAACTGCTCCTCACGGCCCAAGGTTTATGAAGACACATTATTTGTCTCTTCCAAAGACAGGATATGAGTAATAATACTTATTCAGAATAAATAAATAGCAGTTGTTTAGAAACAAAGCACTGCTGTTAAGCTAGTTTTAAAGAAATTCACAAAGATGGAGGTTATATGTCTTTGTAAGTTCAGTGAGTCCATGGCATACCCAAATTGAAGCATTATGATATGGAACAACTCCTTTTAGATGCATAAGAATTTTTTCTACAGGGAAAAAAATAAAATACTTCTTATTTCAAATAAAACTCTAGATTAGAAATCAGACATGTGTTTGTGAGATGTGTATTATGTATGCATTACTTTAAAAAAACAGTAGTTTGAAAGCTGCATAAAACTAGTTATGAAACTTAGGAGACTGTAGCTTTATGGAATTACTATGAAACTAGTAAAACAAAAAAAATCCATCTCTGAATTTAAAAGGAAAACAGTAACTTTAGAAAAGCTGCACTAACTCAAAATGTATGTATGTCTCAAAATGAGTTGATATTTGACCTCAGTGAGAAATTAATGGTTTTGGCCATGGAGGGCCAAAGTAATACCTATTACTTGTTTTTAAAATTGCATGCAAAATTTAGCAAATGGCAAAGAACCAAACTGAAATTGTCTTATCTTAGTATTAAAAGTCAGTGTGAAACTTGTGTTGTATGGCACTATTCACTCAGCACATTGTCACATCTGTTGTGTTCAGTGATGCCCTCTTTTGATGTTGAGATGTAGCATGCAATAGGTTTCATAAATGTTGGAAGGCTTCTGAATATAACCTGTGCTACTAACTTAAAATCATTTTGTGTTTCAGACACCTCTGCCTCGCTCTTCAACAGAAGTGGATTGTGAATTTAAGCCTTTGATAACTGCAGGCTGTCAGCATTACTGTCTTCGAGATAGATAACAACTCCCAAAGCATCTTCAGGGGATGCACCATGACATCAGCAGTGATTGACACGGGAGACCCGGGTCTGGAGTTTGACAGCAATGAAATAAAAAATCAAGAGGTTAGGAAAACAAATATTATTTATTTACTAGCAAACTTCACAACTTTGATCTTAACGTGAAAGAAAAATTCACCTTAAACTTGCTGTGAAAACAAGTGAAATGGATTACAGATTGTTGTATAAGGAGGAAGAGAGCCGCCCATATTTTGTATATCTTTTATTTTCACAGAGAAGTGGGAGCAGTAAGTTTTGAAGTCTGCTATACACCTGTAGAATAGGTTGACAAAATTATCTCTTTAAAGATCTTGAATGTGTCTTGAGGTGTAGAACAGGAGGAGCAGAACAACAGAAGGACCTTTTTCAGAGTTAGCCAATGTGATGTATTTGCTCATATTTTGCATTCTTATAAACAAATAATAAATATGTTCTACTCTCCTGTAGCTTGTAGTAAATTGAATCTGACAGGGCTCCAGTTCTGCAACACTTTAACAGATTAAATATGCTGTTACAGATGTTTTGGTCCTTAAATAAGTAGATATAGGCGTATGGGCTTTGAAGTAGACAGTTCTTTTTTGATAGCTTACGTACTTAATCCAAAACATGAGCGTTCATAAGGTACCGATCAGATGTAGGTATGTTGCAGAACATATGCAAAGGCTTGATTAAATTTCATGGAGCTGAGGGACAAGGAACACTTCCACAGCTGGATGTCTTAATTAGAAAACTTGCTTTTTTCCCATATCTTGAAGCCATCTGATGCTTTAAATTTTACGTGTGTTAAGCCAGGCAAATATCTTTGAGATTGAGGAAGATCCCTTTGGAGGATGATAAGCTGTCTTTTTATTGGTTTGATTTTGTTTTCTTTTTTAAATGTCTTGCTGTAGAAGACAATTTCCTTTAAAAATCTTTAAATCTTTATTATCAGTATTCCATGAAATATGTAAGAGGATAAGAGGAAAATATTGATGTAGAGTTCAACTCAGCAGTTCAATATCTAGAGCATGGTTTTTTTCCTTGTTTTCTTTTTTTTTTTTTTAATTTTATTTTATTTTTCCCCTCTTTCTATAGGAAAATGAGCCAGTCTCTGAATTCCCAGCAGTGATTGTGGAGCCAGTTCCTAGTGCGAGACTAGAACAGGGATATGCTGCGCAGGTCCTGGTTTATGATGACGAGACTTACCTGATGCAAGATGTAGCAGAGGAACAAGAAGTTGAGAGTGAAACTGTGGAAACAGGTAGATTTAATTTTTTTCACCCATGAGATTTTTGTACTTTTAGAGGCTCCTAAGGATTGTGACTTTGTGTTTACCCACAGGATGAGATCCTGACCTGGGTTCACATCTCTTCCCTCTAAGCTTAGTTTTTTCTGTAGCATCAGTGGTGACTGGATTAGGGCTTGGCAGGTAAAAATGTCACCCTAAATTCAGGTGACATTGTAACACCATGTACCCTTATGGGCAGGTTTTTTTTTTTTTGTTACTTACTTACGCAGGGAACTATCTAGACAACTAAACTTTGAGTTTTTAAAAAAGTCGGCTAAGCCATGAAGCTGGTTAGAGTTTAGTTTTACAATGCATCTGAGCCAAATAGCTGCAGGGAAGTTGACATTATGGATTGTGTGGTTCTACCCTATCTTCCAAATGCTCTCCTTCCCACAAACTCTCTCCTTTGCTATCGTGCCTTTTTGGTCCAAGAGTGACTTTACTGCTGGTTTAGTGGCAGGAGTACATGGCTGGGGAGGATGAAGTTGGACTGTCCTTTTATGGGGAAAAAAAGCCTAATAGATTGAAAATTAACCCATCGATATTGTAAAATAACAAGCTACGAATGGAGAAAGGAGGAGAGCTTTGGCATTAAAGCAGCTGACCTGTGTGATGATAAGCATGGCTCTTTCTGTACACCTCTGTTCAAAGAACATGTTCAGGAGCTTTGAACTTTGAGGGTGACCAAAGTCTGTTTAAACTGTGTGAAGAAACAAAAGTTGTGCTCCTATGGGAGCCTAATTATACCTGACTGCCGTGCTGCTGCTGTGCTGTTGTCCCTCCCTGTTGTCCCTCCCTTTTGCTTTCTTGTGCTACTTCTCATATTCGTTGAACGTTTTTTAGCCATTTCAGTATGCTACTTTTGCAAGAAAAAGTAGCATGGAAACCCTTAACTGTTGTGTATTTTTGCTCGATTATCTTTTTGCTGGTTGAGCATGTTGACATGGCTCAGACAAGGGCCTGATGAGTGCTGGGGTAGGGAATGCATACAACTGCAACCAAAGGAGGAGCAGGTCTTCTTGAGCACTCTGTACTGAACTGATGAGACCACTTGACTAGAAAATGGTTAGCATATGTTTCTATCCTTGAGCTGCTTAATTTAGAGTTGGAATTAGGCAAGTACAACAAAGCTGAGAGGCTCTTGGCAGCCCAGTAAATATATGTGCATTCCCATCAGATTAGGTAGGTTTCAGTGCAGATTTCTCTGTAAACAGTGGATGCAGTTTTTCATACATCTTTCTGAATCTGGATGCTCATCTCATGCAGCACTGCATCAAAAAGTCACATGCATCAACTTCAGAAGATGTGTGTGAATGGATGGTTCAGTTTTTTGGAGACTACTTAGTTTACTCAAAGGTATTTTGAATTAAATATGCTAATTACAAGTTCAACAAATTAAAGTAAAGATAAACTAGGAGATTTTTAAAAAATTATTATTTGACTATGGTAATAAGACTTTTTAAGCTTAAGGTGAGAAGTGAGGGTGATTTTTCCCAAGAAGCTGGGTCTTAAAAATTAAACTTCTATTTAAAAATCTTTGAGTTTTTAGAAACTGTTAATGAGTAGTATCACTTGCAATTTCAAAAGGTCTTTAGGAAGAGGTAATCTCTTCTTGTGCACCTGTTCCCATACTCTGACTTTTCATTGTTACTTGTATAGTATATAAACCAGTAATCCAGTGCAGTTTTCATGGTGTTATTATAATATGACAGCAAGTAATGGTTCTTGCACAGAGCTTGTATGTAATGATGAAAGAAGTGTTTGGTTTAGACTGTTCTAAGGGATGTAGTCCTGTGGGACATGTGTTTTGACTGATGTTTTGGTACACCCAAGAGTCTTATTGAATTAACTGCTAATATAGAGAGGTAAAATGGGCAATGGAAGAGATACCGGGCTGCAGTTTGGTGTTGGAGAAGCAGTTTGGTGTTGGAGAGATGATAAAGAGGCGCCGTAGTAAATGGTAATGAGAAAGCAGGCTGAGGCAGGAACCGGTGAGCAAGGTATAATAATGTTTATCTAAAGAGCATTTTTAAGATGTTGATTTTCTCAAGTACATACCTTTATTATGCTAATGATCCTGATTTAGATAGGTGCAACAGTTTGAATTCAGCGTGTCTTAGAAGAAAAATCCATTGTTGCTAAATTATAATGTCAAGTGGCTGCTACAAAAAAATGTCACGTCATTTGATAAATGAATAGTTGTTGCACCCAGAATGAGTAGACTTAATACCTTTTGTGGCTCTAGATTCTATAGACAGCATCATAAACGCTAAAAACCCATCTTAAAGAAGTCTTGGTAGTATTTGGAGTAATACATGCCCACATAACCTGATACACTCCCTGTTGTCAGTATCTCTGCTGTTGGCCATGGACCAGAGTTGTTTGTTTTCTTTTCGCTTCTTGTGACATTCCATTGGCAATTCCAGTGACTACTGATATACATGCTTTATAATGTTACAGCATAACGTATTTCAAGAGCCTTGAGCTACTTCGCAGTTAATCTAAAGCTGCATAATTTAGTAAAATGTAGAATTATTCTAGCCTTCAGAGATAGGGATCAATGCTATTGTAAAGGTAGTCTGGTAGCTGATTTGGTAAAATTTATTTATGACACTGATTTGTGCTATGTCCTGAATAGATCTGTTTGTGTTTTGCTATTCTGTGATTGGATTTGAGACTGTGTGGACTGTAAGGACTGTCAGTGCTGATCCAAGGGCAGAACTGGGACTTGTAATGTTATTTTGCATTAAAATTCTCACCTTTTTGAAACTGCAATTCAAATAAAATATGCTATATAATCATTATAAATAGCTATATCTCTAAACACTGATGAATTTTTAGTTAATTCTAGTGGAGTACAGGGTTTCTTTGCTTGTCAGACTCCTTTCAGTATCTTTCCCACTAATGTATTTTGTTTCATTAATCAAGGATGATTATTGATAATTAATCCCTTAGCTAAAAAATGAGCCCATTAACTATAAAAGTAAAACTCAAGAGTGTTTTAACAAACAAGAAAGACTTAATGGTTCAAGTTATTTTTTTTTTGTCCTGTTCTAGAAAAAAAAAGTCTATCTGCTTGTAATAGAAAAAAATGTTGACAAAGGAGTTTTCTAGGAAAAATAAAATGTAGGAATTTTCATCTTTTCAAGTGACCTTATGACTTTCTTAGTGGAAGTATTGAGTGCCTTCTGTAATGTCTGAAAGAGAAAGTATAAGCTTTAGATTGATAGTGTTTCAATTTCTTTTCCTGTGCGTACGCTGTCATTTTTATGAGCAATACCTCTAGGCTATAGTGGACTGAGATACAGTCTTAAGATTTAGTTTACTGCACCAGTGGAAGTGTTCATATTATAAACACTGCATTCTCCTTAACAATTTTTAATTATATCCAAATTTTGTTGGTTCCCATTTCCTGAGTAGTTTTTTGTCCTTAAAGTAATTAGCCCTTCAATTTTAGGCTTTATTCAGCAAAACCTTTGTAGTTTACATAACAGCAGAAGCTGCTGTCATCAAAGAAGCAGTCAGTCTGAAATTGCCAGTTGCTGTAGTTCTGTTTGTCACGACACAGAACCCATAACGTGGGTGTGTAGGTGTTGTGATGGGGTAATCTAATCTTTGAGCTTTCCATATGTGCAGTGCTGAAGGGTACCATAGTCATGAGCCGCAAATCTTGTACATGGAAGTTGTGTAGCCTTTTAACCAAATAAGGCATTAATTGAATATTTAAGTATGATAATGCTGTTTTGAAAATGCCAAATTATCTACAACATTGTCATTAAAATTGATGAGTACTTTCTGAAGTCCCTTTGTACTGATTTTATGCCTGCATCAGTATTACTTTTCTTCTGGGTTACCTAATGATGAATTTAAAAAAAAAGTGGTGTTTGTTGTTTACAGGTTGTATTGAACAGTAGGCAGCTATTAAACAGATGTTATAAGTACAGTAAAGCTTGATCCCTGTGAGAGGTATACCAAAAGCATATTGCCAATATAGACCCTGATTTAATCAATTCACTTAATCTGACTTCTCATATCAGTAGTGTTTTTCCCCTTATTTTTTAGTAATCATCAAAGCAGCAAGTACAGGTTTGGGATTTTTTTTTTCTCACCACTTTAAAGAGGAAACAAAATTAGTGCTTTGGAGAAGTTGAATTATCATTTGATGTGTGAACTATCACCACATTATTCAATTCGATGTTCCATCAGAAATCCTCCCTGTGGTGTGAGTTGAAAGTCTGTTTTAACTCTGAAAATGTTATTGCCACAGGGGGGTAGAAGATCTGCATGAAAAAATGGGGATCTGAAAATAAGCCCCTCCAGGATTACGATCTGGTGGAAAAATACTGAGCTACAAAGGCAACGATGGTATGTTTGTCTATATATCTTAAATTATTTTTTTCCCACTGGGAAATTAAGTTGAAACTATCCTGTAAATTGATGGCCATCCTCTAAGGAGGGAGGGGGTTGAATAAACAGTGAGTTTAGGCTTAACTCCTCCCTTAATTTAAACAAATGCATGAATAGAGTACATACTTTAAGGCAAAATCTTCTTTTACAGAGGAAATACCAGGTTACTACTTGCACTGATACCACTGTGGAGAGCCAGCTTTGTATATCTATGTAAAAGTCTGTAGTTACTACCTGTTGTTTTTCCTGCCTCTATATGTTGTCTTTCATTATGATTTAAACTGCTTCCTTCTGACTTCTTTTATGTGAATTTGAGGCTATGAACTCTTGTGTTTATCTGAGATAAGTTTCCATCATTTGTTAAATACCATATACAAAGAAGTCAGTATTAGATCTGGGTAGAATCTCACGTTTGATTGTGGTATGTGCACTGAAGGGATAAACAAACCAACATTTTCATCCATTCTGTCCAGACATTATTTGATTAAACTGCCTCTTACTAAACCTGAGACAACACAAACATCTGGTGTATGTTTTGGTAGTGCTGGCATATCCTACTGATTGAA